AATAAAACCTTTAAAATGTTATTTATTTATTTGAAAGCCAGAGAGAGAGAGAGAAAGAGATCTTGCCTCTGTTGGTTCACTCCTCAGATGGCTGCAATGGCCGGAACTGCGCAGATCCAAAGCCAGGAGCCAGGAGCTTCCTACAGGTCTCCCACACGCATGCAGGGCCCAAGGACATGGGCCATCCTCCACTGCTTTCCCAGCCCACAGCAGAGAGCTGGATCAGAAGTGGAGCAGCCAGTTCTCAAACTGGAACCCATATGGGATGTCAGTGCTTCAGGCTAGGGCGATAACCTGCTAAGCCACAGCTTATCCTATATGCCTGCCTATGACACCAACACACACCCAATCCTGTGTATTGAGCCCTGCAGTGTAGGTGTGACCAGCACAAATATAGTCCCTGAAATCAGTATTCAGGTGAACTTTAGAAACACATGCCTCCCAATTATCACCTACAAGGAAAAGCCAGAACTTGGGGGAACTCCTGGCAGCTCTATGACCTGGCTCCCACTCCTGTTCAGCTTGGCCTTGGAGAATCCCCACTGGCCAACTGTGAGCTCCCACCAGGCTTGTACATGTCTGAGAACTGAAAAACTCTGTCCTGCCAGCCTGACACCTGTTTCAAGTGCTACAGGAAGAGTTCCCAGTGATGCTGGAAGAAAATGCTTTGACCACAATCAAGTTATCAGCATGGCAATTTTGATAAAGGTCATCAGTTTAAAAAAGAATAAAACAAAGTGCGGTAACAAATGAACTTGAGATTCTGGTGCTCTACAGAGTGGACTTGTGTTTCCTAAATGTCTTTTCTCTGGACTTTTTATTATTATTATTTCCCAGAAGTTTGGAATTTTTTTCACTTTTGGGATCAATGACTTATATATTCATTTCCCCCATTGTTTCTGTGATGTCAACAGTTTAACTTAAAGTCCAAACCTATGTTCAGTTCGTGGTTTACCTGTTCAAAATGTAGCATTTTCAGGCCAGAGTTGGGTGCAGTGGGTTAGGCTGCTGCTGTCTGCAATGCCAGCATCCCACATGGACATCAATTTGATTCCTGGCTGCTCCACTTCTGATTCAGCTCCCTATTAATGTGCCTGGAAAAGCAGTGCAAGAAGGCCCAAGGCTTTGGGCCTCTGCACCCACTTAGGATACTAGAAGAAGCTCCTGCTTCAGCCTGGCTCAGCTCTGGCCATTGTGCCCATTTGGGGCATGCACTGGTAGATGAAAGATCTCGACCTCCATATCTCTCCCTTCCCCCCGCTTCGTCTCTGTAACTCTGCCTTCAAATAAATAAATAAATAAATCTTTATTATTATTTGAAAGGTAGACTTACATAGAGAGAGGGAAAGACAGATCTTCCATCTGCTGGTTTATTCCTAAAAGGCTGCAACAGCCAAGCCTGGGCCAGGCAGAAGCCAGGAGCTTCATCCAGGTATCCCATGTGGGTGCAGGTGAAGTAACACCTTGACAGTAGGGATTCCATTTTGGGGAACCTGAGACTCCATTCTGGGAAGGTGCCCCCCACACACACACACACCGTGAGGCTCTGCTCTGAAACTATGGTCTAAAACAGTTGAACAATAGCAGTCCACTACATCACACTAGGCAGAGCATAGAAAACCCCTAGCATGATCGCTCAAGCTTGGAAGTGGATAGGCTGCACCTGGGTTAATGATAAAAATGTAATTTGTCTATGCCCTACATATGATTAAAACCAATACCTGGATTAATGTCAAGATTATAATTGAAATTGTTAAGATTGCAACTGGCATTGTCAAGATTATAATTGATACTCGTTTCGCATCGGTTTTAGGTCAGCTTGACCCCCATAACCATGTATTCCCCCCGATCCTAGCAACCATGTATTCCCATCCCAATTTTGCAGTTTTTGCCTTTATAAACCCTGTTGCTTTGGGCTTCAGGGTCGAGAGTTCTTTTGGGCATGAGCCCACTCTCCACCGCCGGCAATAAAGGACGATCAAATTTTATCAATGTGTGGTGCTCCTTTGATTACACTCACTCAGGTACAACACAGGGTCCCAAGCAACTGGATCACCCTCTGCTGCTTTCCCAAGCACATTAGCAGGGAGCTGGATCAGAAGCGGAGTTCCAGCCGTTGTGGCTATCTGGGGAGAGGACCAGCGGATGGAAGACCTCTCTTTCTCTCCCTCTCTGCCTCTGCCTCTCTGCCTTTCAAATAAATAAATACATCTTTAACAATAAGTGGCACCACTGGGAAACAAATGGATGCCCGTATGGGATGCTAGTATCGCAAGCAGCAGCTTAACCTAGTGAACAACACTGGCCCTAATAAATCTTTTTTTCTTTTAATGTAGCATTTTTTTTTTCCATGACCTGACATGTTAAAGCCACAGCCCATCAGTTTGGTGAATCTGGTAAACTGTAAACTGGTGATTCATCAAACTGACTTCCAGCACACTGAGTTTTCCTAATGATTTTCTGTCAAATGCCCACTTAATGAGATTGCAGTTTCTTTATCTTTTTCTCTTTCTTTCTTTTTTTTTTTTTTTTTTTTTTTTTTTTTTTTTTTGACAAGCAGAGTTAGACAGTGAGAGAGGGACACAGAGAAAGGTCTTCCTTCCGTTGGTTCACCCTACAAAGGCCACTACAGCCAGAGCACTGCGCCGATCCAAAGCCAGGAGCCAGGCGCTTCTCCTGGCCATCCTCCACTCTCTACTCAGGCCACAGCAGAGAGCTGGACTGGAAGAGGAGCAACTGGGACAGAATCTGGCGCTCCAACCGGACTAGAACCTGGAGTACCAGCGCCACAGGCAGAGGATTAGCCTAGTGAGCCGTGGCGCCAGCAATGAATGTGCATTTTCCCAAACCGAACTTTAGCTACCTGCTTGACCCTTTCTCAGACATCTCAATGCTTAATCCACTAGACTGCAACAATAGTAAGAACAACAGCCAACATTACTTTTTTACTCTGTGCCGCCTCTCACCTAACCATGAAGCAGTTATGAACGAATGTCCTCCATACCCAATTCCTGCAGGAAACCTACTGAGCATCATCATCATCAGTCATCACAATGATTTGAGCTTTACACCCTTGGGCAAGAAACCGCCCTGGTCCCACCCACATCTCAATACCACCTCCTGGGGCCAGCGCTGTGGCACAGTAGGCTAAGGACCTGGCCTGGAGCGCCAGTATCACATATGGGCGCCAGTTTCAGAACTGGCTACTCCACTTCCGATCCAGCTCTCTACTATGGCCTTGGAAGACAGTGGAGGATGGAGCGAGTCCTTGGGTCCCTGGACCCGATGAGACTGGGGGTGGGGTGTTGGGTGTTGGGGGAGATTCTGGCTTCTGGCTTCAGATCAGCACAGCTATGGCCATTGTGGCCAATTAAGGAGTGAAACCGGCAATGGAAGCAATCTCTCTCTCCCTCTCTCTCTCTCTCTCTCTCTCTCTCTCTCTCTGCCTCTCTTGTCTCTGTGTAACTCTGACTTTCAAATAAATAAATAAATAAAAATTGATCAGATTTGTGAGCTGGAAGATCAGACCTCCACCCCACACTGAGTGACCTCATGCCCCTACCTGACCACACCTCTGTCCAAGTACTTGGGTTCCTCTTCTCCACACGGGAAACTCAGATGGAGTATTCCTGACTTTGGCTTCAGCCTGGTGCTGGCCCCATCCCAGCTGTTGTGAGCATTTGGGGAATACACCAGAACATGGAATGGTTGTCTCTGTCTCTCTCTCTCCTGCCTCCCATCTCTGTCACTCTGCCTATGGTAACTAAGTGTACCTAAAAGGTAATCTATTTAAGTGAAATTGACACTCAGATGCAATGATGGTTTACAGCCCTTGTCTCTACAGTTTGTTGAACTCTTTACTTACTGTAGGGATAATGAGTATAAAGTAAACTGAAAATAAATCTTTGTAAAAATTAAGATTGGATGGCTGGCGCCGTGGCTCACTAGGCTAATCCTCCACCTTGTGCGCCGGCACACCGGGTTCTAGTCCCAGTCAGGGCACCGGATTCTGTCCCAGTTCCCCCTCTTCCAGGCCAGCTCTCTGCTGTGGCCAGGGAGTGCAGTGGAAGATGGCCCAAGTGCTTGGGCCCTGCACCCCATGGGAGACCAGGAGAAGTACCTGGCTCCTGCCATCGATCAGCGCGGTGCGCCAGCCGCAGCGCGCCACCTATGGCGGCCATTGGAGGGTGAACCAACGGTAAAGGAAGACCTTTCTCTCTTTCTCTCTGTCCACTCTGCCTGTCAAAAAAAAATTAAGATTGGGACTAGGAGAGGGAGGAGGAAGAAGGATGGGAGCGTGGGTGGGAAGGATCACCATGCTCCTAAATCTGTATATATGAAATACATGAAATTTGTATACCTTACATAAAATTAAACTCGTTGCTGGAGGCCAGCCTTACCCTGATACTCAAGCCAGACAAGAACACAACAACAAAAAACTACAGACAAATATCTCTGATGAACATAGAATGAAAATTTTTAACATACTGCCAAATCAAAATTGACAGCAATCAAAAACATCCGTCATGGTCAACTGGTCATAGTTCAGGGATGCCTATAATATGTGGATGCCAGGGCCACAGGTGGTGGCCTATTCCACTGCACCCAGCGCCGGCCCCTATTTATCTTTCTTTAAAAAACATGTATGTATTGGAAAGACAGCGTTACAGAGAGCGACGCTTGGAAAGGGTGTCCCCTACAGATAATGACCAGGCCAAGACAGGGCTGGTCGGGCCACCCCCTTGCTTGGCAAGCCCGGGGCCCTCCTCCCTCCTCGCGGGTTGGGCGGAGCAGCCGCCCAGGCCCGCCCCTGCTGGCCCTGCATCCACTGCACTGGGAGCAGAGCCGCCCGCGCCGCCCAGAAAGGAGGTGCAGCGATGGCGATGGCGATGGCGATGGCGGCAGGCAACGCGGCCTACTTCCAGAGGGGCAGTGTGTTCTGGTTCGCGGTCATCATGCTCTCCTTTGGCTACTACACGGTAGGGGCAACCGAGTTGGGACAACCGCCTGGAGGGAGCGCTCCTGTCACCCAGGCCTCCGCCTCCACTTGGAGGAGGGGCCGCGCAGGCGCAGTTCCCGCTCTCTCGCCTCCCAGCGGGGAGGGAAGACAGAACCCGGAAGGAGGCGCAGATGCAGTCGGCTGCCAAGGCTTTTGGCAGGTGTTCTAGGCCCTGCAAAACCGGTTGGCCTACTTTCCTCAGGTGGGGGCGGGCACGACTCCCCACCTGCGGACTGAGCGCCTGGGTCTTTCACGATGGTGCTGGCGAACTCGAAGGCCGCAAGGGATGCAACCGCCTACTTCCGGACGGCCAGCCCGTTGCCCTCGCTGGTCACGGGGCTGGGGCTGGGATACTTAGCGGTGAGGGGCGGGGCGCGGACGCGGGCGCCTGTGTTTTGGCCCTCCGGGCTGTCGTAGCGTGAGGGGCGCCGTGGGAACGGCGTCGGTGCGCATGCGCACCGCGCGGTTGCCTAGGTTACGAACGCCAGCAGACGCTAAGCCGGGTTTTAGAAGGTTTAGAGTGTTTGAAGCAGGGGGAGTTGCTTGGAAAACGGCGGATAAAGCCAAGGGATGGCTAGGATTTCACTGGTGAGCAAGAACCGGTGTGACAGCAGGAGGACAGCTCTACTGCGGGGAGGAGTGACTTTCGTCTCACTTCCAGGATAACGAACGGGAAAGACGCCCGGAAACAGGTTGGGGTAAACCGGTATCATGTAGGAGGAAGGCGAAGCTAGTTTGGATCTTTCCCGGGAGATCCTGGAACCTGGACGGGTGTCATTTCCACAGCGGCGTCGCTCTGACCACCTCCGCCCTCCTTTCGCCGTGTGCAGGATGGAGGCGTGGGGCTCTAGTTTTCCCGAGTGCCCTTTCTGTGCCAGGATCCCGCGACCCTGTTGGAACACACAAGCTGGGAAACTGAAGATTCGAGTTGGAATTTAGTGGAACTGGCAGATGCCAGCCCCTCTCCACCGCGTGGTTAGGAGGCCGCAGTGATATGTTGTACTTTATTGGAATATTGACTTTAAACAGCATCCTGGGAGAAGTAGTGTTGCCTTTGGTGCAGATCTAAGTGGAGCACTAAACTTTGGAGGGGTTGACAGTGATTCACAGAAAGGCTTGTAACAGAGCCTGAGGAGGAGTTGGTAAGGTCACCACAAAAACCTTACATGAACGAGGAGTTGCTGTTAAACCTCCGCGAGTCTGATTTTCCGAGTGTGTCTGCGTGGTGTGCAAGAGTGGAAGAGCATGATTCTAACTGCGAGACTGAGCCCAAGCCACCGTTTGCAGGACAGAAGCTGGCCAAAGCACGCAGACTCCTACAAGTCTAGGAAATAACGTTTGGGGTGGAATTCATGAAAAATCGGATCCGTTCCGCCAGTGCACGGAGCCTGATCATCACCTCGTTTCTTTGTGGCATACGTCCATTGGAGCTGCTTTTTAGAAATAGAGGATGGAGATTCAGGTGCCCTCCTTCAGACCCTGTTTCCCCAGTAGTTAGTTTGGTAGAATTGGTGTTCTTTCCTACCTGCCGGTCTTCAGGTGCCCTAATGGTTTCTTTGTGCCTCTGATTCTCTTTCAGTGGGTTGTCCTCTGGCCGCAGAGCATCCCTTATGAGAGCCTTGGGCTCCTGGGCTCTTTCACTCAGTACCTGGTGGACCGTCATCACACCCTCCTGCACAACGGGTAAGGAGAGTTGCAGAAACGACACGCTGGTCTCGCTGGAGACCTTGAAGGCCTGCAGTTGCCTTTAGGTATTGAAGAATGGCGCTAGTTCACGTTTAGGAATCTTTCCAGATTTCTGTTAGATTTTATCATCTGACAATCCCCCCCCTTAAACTAGACTGACTTGTAGAAATAGGTTTGGGGCCGGCATTAGCAGGTAAAGCCGCCACCTGCAGTGTCGGCATCCCTTATGGATGCCGGTTCGAGTCCCGGCTGCTGTACTTCCAATCCAGCACTCTTCTATGGCCTGGGAAAGCAGCAGAAGATGGCCAAGGGTTGGGCCCCTACACCCATGTGAGGGATCTGGAAGAAGCTCCTGGCTCCTGGCTTGTGATTGGCCCAGTTTCAGCTATTGTAGGTATCTGGAGAGTGAACCAGCACATGGAAGGCTTCTACCTCGCTCTTTCTCTCTCAGCCTCTGCCTCTCTGTAACCCTGCCTTTCAAATAAATAAATAAATCCTTATAAAAATTTTCTTTTTCTTTGGTACAGAGAAATTTTCCATACACTGATTTCGCTCCCCCTGATGCCCACAACAGCCAGAGTTGGACTAGGCCAAAGGCAGAGCCAGAAACTCCATTCAGGTCTCCCACGTGATGGCAAGAATCCAAGTACTTGAGCCATCACCTGCTGTCTGTCAGGGTGTGCATTGGCCAGAAGCTGAATCAGAGACAGAGTTACCGAGACTCGAATCATACACCTGAATGTAGGATGCTGGTGTGCCAAGGGCAACTTAACCTCTTTGTTGTTGTTGTTTCAGGTATTGGTTTGCCTGGATGATTCACGTGGCAGAGTCCTTGTATGCCATGGTGCTGTGCAAGTAAGTCATTATTTAGGTCCTGGTCACCTTTCTCGCGGTATCTGGTAGAAGCTGAGCCACCACATTTAAATAATTCATGCACGCCTAGGCTGAGAGCACTCTGAGGTAGTGTGGAGTACCCATGCCTGATACTGGGCCTGACGCAGGAATACTCAGTAAATGTCCGGTGAGTGAGTCCATTTAGTTTGTGTTAGTTATTATTTACTCCGTTAGTGCATTAGGCTGACTGTTATTTTGTTTTTTTTTTTTTTTTTTTTACACTTTTTTTAATTGTCTGTACAGCAGCACCTAGAACAAAAGATTAGGAGTCTGCCTCCTAGTGTGCGAAAGAGCCGAGTTACTTTCCTAGGCCAGTAATCTCCTATCTTGATGCCACAGTGAACCACCTGAGGAGCTGTTTCACTGTACATGTCTGGTTTCCACCAGAAAAATTGATCTGGCAGGTCTTGCTTCAGACCTACAAGTCTGTTCTTTCTTAAAGGTCTGCAGGTAATTCTGGAGCTAAATGCAAGTTAAAAGCCCCCAAACAGACCCTACTCAGCAGATGCTACTGTAGGTGACTACTATGTGAGAGTACTGAAAAAGATTCTTTGTACTTTTGGACAATTTGTTCTCCCCTCCGGGACCGTCTGCTAGTGGGGTCCTCTGTGAAGTCCTGTTCCTTTGCTCTCCCACTGGGCAGGCTGAACCCATCTCTACGCTTTGGAGTGACACAGTCGCCCTTTGCCAGAGTGCAAGGGGATTTCCAGGTGGCTTTGTTGAAACTCTTCTCTGGGCTTGAGACTGTGGTAGGAAAGCCCAAGTGTTCTGAGACTCCTTCCCAGTGGCCTCTTGGGCCTCCCTGAGGTGTTAGCCGAGGATGTTTGGCCCAGCCCTGCAGCTTGACAGCTCTTGTGACTGGCATTTGGAGCCTCTAATGAAAACCAAAAGACTGTGTTGTGTTGTACACTTCTTTGAAGGGAGAAGGGGAACAAGCCCAGGGAGGTTGCGTCTCTCTTACTGTGTTCCTAAAACCGGTCCTTTAAGGATCTCACGTGTTAGAATGTGCCATAGCTCACTTTAAATCAGAATTAATACTCCTTTTGATTTGTGAGATCAATGAAAGAGTAAATAAATTTGAATGCAAGAATACATGAAGACATGGTATAAATTTGGAGCTTCCCAAATCCTACTGCCCAGGAATAACTACTTGTAATATTTTGTTGAGTTCCCTTTTGTTTTAATCCATACCTGTAAACTTTTAATCCAGTCATCATCCTGTAGGAAAGAGTACTTTGCGCTGTATGTAGATACAGAAATGACCTTGGAGGTGGCAGGAAACTAACATTTACTAAGCACCCTCCATGTGCCAGTCCCTAAGCAGAAGCTCAAGGACACAATCAGGCTATAATATAGTCTCTTAAATCCCATGTTTTAAAAATACATACCTTTCTGAATTTCTTTTAACCAGAGATAAGATTGGACTATATGTTTGACTTTATATCTGCCATAATCATACACTTAAGCACTTTGCCATGTTTTTATTTTTTTTTTGTATTTCATTTTAAAGATTTATTGTATTTATATGAAAGAGTTGCACAGAAAGAAGCAGACACACAGAGAGAGAGGGGGGTTTTCCATCCTCTGGTTCACTCCCCAGTTGGCTGCAATGGCCAGTACTGCACTGATCCAAAAAAAAAAAGGAACCAGGAGCTTCTTCCGGGTCTCCCATGCGGTGCGGGCCCAAGCACTTGGGCCATCTTCTTCTGCTTTCCCAGCCATAGCAGAGACCTGGATGGGAAGTGGAGCAGCGGGGCACAGCACCGGCCCCGCCATGTTTTTTTTTTTTTTTTTTTCCCTGCCATGTTTTTAAAATAACCTTGAAGGCAGGCACTTGGCCCTGCAGTTAAGATGCTACTTGAGGGAGGACACTGTGGTGTAGCAGGTAAAGCCTCCGAGACCTGCAATGCTGGCGTCTCATATGGGTGCTGGTTGGAGTCCTGGCTCCTCCACTTCCCATCCAGCTCTCTGCTCGGGCCTGGGAAAGCAGTGGAAGATGGCCCAAGTCCTTGGGCCCCTGCAGCTGTGAGGGAGACCCGGAGGAAGTTCCTGGCTCCTGCCTTGGATCGGTGCAGCTCCGGCCGTTGCAGCCAATTGAGGAGTGATCCATCGGATGGAAGACCTCTCTGCCTCTCCTCTCTCTGTGTAACTCTGACTTTCAAATAAATACTTTTTTTTTTTTTAATGATGCTACATGGGACAGCCCCATCCTATATCGAAGTGCCAGGAATCAGATCCTGGCTGTGGTCTTAATTCCAATTTCCTGCTGATGCACACCCTCGGAGGCCTCAGATGATGCCTCAAGCCCATGGGTCCCTACCACTCATGTGACAGACCCAGATACTGACCGAGTTCTCAGCTCCTGGCTTCAGCCTGCTCCAGTCCTGGCTGTTGGTGGCATTTGAGAGTGATCCAGCAGGTAGGAAATCAGTTTCTTTCTCTCTCTCCCTCTCAGCCTTTCTGCCTTTATTTCAAATAAAATAATTTTTTATAAAGTTTGGTGAATAGTTTTAAATTTTGCATACTATTCCTCTAGTTGTATATTCCAGAATTCATTTAGTTAAACTAGCAGTGAATATTTAACTTTAAAAAACATTTTTCTTTTGTTAATGATTGTTTAGTTTTATTTGAGAGAGAGAACTCCACTCCACTCACTCATGCTCCAGATATCTCCAGTAGCTGGAGCTGGGCCAGGGCCAAAGTTAGGCTCCAGGAAAGCAATCCAGGTCTGCCTTTGCAATCCAGGTCTCCCACAAGGCAGGGACCCTACTGCTTGAGCAATCAGCACTGTGATGTGGGAGGCAGATTCTTTTATCACTGGGCTAAATTCTACTCCCTGGGTCTTAGGTCTTTAATCTACCTGGAACTGACTTTTTGTGAGAGGCAAGTATTCAACTTTATCTTGATATTTCTATATGGATGCCCTGTTTTCCCCAAGCCACTTCTTGAGACTTTCACTCTTCATTAATGTGCTGTGGCTTATAGCCACATATATGTCTGTGTTTCTGAACTCACTGTTCTTTTCTGTTGGTTTGCTTCTTTGTCCTTGGGCCAGCATAACATTATCTTACAGTAGTAGCTTTGTAGTCACTGACACCTGATGGAGCATGCCCTCTCACCTTGTTCAGAGTTACCTGTTCCTGGGCCTTTGCACAGCCTTATGCATTGTCATGTGCTTCAAATATGAAAAATTTATCTGTTGGCATTTTTATTAGATTGACCATATGAATTAATTTGTAGCAGAATGGCATATTTCCGTTATTAAGTCTTCTAAACCAGGAAAAATGATTTGTCTCCATTTCCTTAGAGTTTTGTGATGTTTTTCCTATTCTTTATTTGGTTAATATCCAGCTTCCTGTACTTTCAGATGTTGTTATAAGTGACTTTTCCTTCATTTTATCATTGTTTGATGGTAGCATATATGCATATAGTCAGTTTTATATATTGACCTTATACGTAGCAACCTTAAAATTCATTTATTAATTCTAATAGTTCATCTATAGATTATTTTCAGTTTTCTAGTCATCATTCAAGTGTCTCTAGAAACAGTTTTATTTTTTCTTCTCAGTTCAGTCCCTTTGCTTTGTGTTTCTTCCCTGTTGTACTAACTCATACTTCCAGTGCATGTTGCCTAGAAGTGGACATGATGCCTGGTTCCTGATCGCCAAGCTGTCAGTGTCCTTGCATCATGTTTATTCTAGAGTTTTATAGATCTCCTTTGTCAAAATGAGGATGTTCAACTGTATATCTGAGTCTGCTAAGAACTTTGAAGAATGGATGTTGAAACTTATCAGATATTTTTGCATTTTTTTGGATTTATTAGTTTATTTGAAAGTCAGAGTTACACAGAAAGAGAAAGAGAGGCAGAGAGAGAGAGAGAGTCTTCCATCCGCTGATTCACTCCCCAGTTGGCCACAACAGCTGGAGCTGGGCTATCCAAAGCCAGGACAGGAACTTCTTCTGGGTCTCCCACATGGGTAAAGAGGTCCAAGGAGTTGGGCCATCTTCTACTGCTTTCCCAGGCCACAGCAGAGAGCTGGATCTGAAGTGGAGCAGTCGGGACTCAAACCTGTGCCCGTATGGGAAAGCAGCTCTGCAGGCAGCGGCTTTACCCACTATGCCACAGCACTGACCCCTATTTTTTGCATTATTAAAATGTATAATCTTTATCCTTTAATTTATTGATAGAAAAAAACATTTGTATATATGCATATAAAGTTTGCTTTAAATAAAAGGTTTATGCAAGTGAGACTTAATTACATACACATGAGCCTGCAGCAAGCCGTTCACTTAAGCTGAATCATTTTCTGTTGAGCTTTCAGACAGTTGAATGACTGTATAGTAACACTATGTTCCAGTTTCTTTCCTAAGCACTTTGTGTATATATCTCATAAACCAAGTGGGACAGATACTACTGCTATGACTGTTTTTCACATGAGAATACTGTTTCTGAGAGCTACTAGTGATGTGCCCAGGACACAGCTGGCGGGTGGCCAAGCTGGGATTCACATCTGGTACAAATCTTCACATCTTCAGACACTTGCTCTGAAGCCATACCAGTGCCCATCTCCTTTCAGTCATCTCATGAGAAACCGTGTTATAATGCTCTACCCTGCTCTACCTGGACAGTAGCCAGACTAGTTCCAAGGAATAGTGTACCATCCTAAATACATTTATTAGGAAGCAAGGAAGAGAAAAAATAAATTGCCCCTTTAAGTTAAAAAACCAGGGTGGGGAGGTGGTAGACAGATGGAAGTATAGAAAAAGTATAAAAATTAAAAAAGAATAAGGCCAGCGCCGCAGCACACTGGGCTAATCCTCTGCCTGCGGTGCCGGCGCCCCAGATTCTGGCCTCAGTCTGAGCGCCGGTTCTGTCCTGGTTGCTCCTCTTCCAGGCCAGCTCTCTGCTGTGGCCCGGGAGTGCAGTGGAGGATGGCCCAAGTGCTTGGGCCCTGCGCCCACATGGGAGACCGGGAGAAGCACCTGTCTCCTGGCTTTGGATCAGCGTGGTGCGCCCACCGCAGCGGGCATTGGGGGGTGAACCAACAGAGGAAGGAAGACTTTTCTCTCTGTCTCTCTCTCACTGTCCACTCTGCCTGTCAAATAAATAAATAAATAAACAATGCTTCCTGTGAAACCATAAGATCAAAATTATGGTGCTTATATTTTGTACTTTTTTTTTTTTTTTTTTTTTTTTTTTTTAGGTATAAAGGAATCACAAATGGTCGGGCTCAGCTACTCTGGTTCCTACAGACTTTCTTCTTTGGGATAGCATCTCTTTCCATCTTGATTGCTTACAGACCAAAGCGCCAAAAACAAAATTAAAAGCAAATATACAGAAGTTGCCTCTACTTAATTCAGACACCTTTCCAGGGTGACGGGGACTGCCATTTTCACTCAATGATATTTCTGTTTTGTAAAAAGTTTCCCTCAAAGCTATCTAGGACCCTGCAGTTACTCATTTTTCGTATAATATGCTGTGGTTGAGCTTGAATAGACCAGTTAGTTAACAAGGAAATAGGAAAAGTAAATACAAGTTTACAAGTAAATTAAGGAACTAGGAAAAGATTTTAGCCTTCAGCTCTGCGGACTCAGCACAGAAGAGGGCTTCCCCCCCACCTTCTTAAGGGCCTCTGGCGTTGTGGGCTCTGCTGTCATCTGGGCTGAGACACACGCTTGCTAGATTTGCTTGTTGGTTTTTCTTTGCTCCTTTCCTTCTTGTTAAAACATCTTGGCCGCACTACCACCATGTTAGCTCTCCTTCCCTTAAATTCTCTCCATCTTTCTGGACCAAGATGTAGGGACACTTCTACAATACATCAGTTCCTTATACATTTGTTAGGCACCTCTAAGGCAGAATCTACCCTTTCAAACTTCTGTTTCTCAAATTACAGAGAAAAATAAGGAAGTTGGAACGGGCAGACTGAGTGATCACATAGAGGCACGCTGAGAATCAGGGCTGGTGGCCTTCCCTGCTGCTGACCGAAGTGTCTTTCCCTACACTGGACCCCTGGGACACGGTGCCCTGTGGCTCGCAGGGGTTGATTGCTGCTCCAGCTCAGGGTGCAGCTTAGCTCTACTTCCCCCACCTTACCTGTCCCCCTGCCGTGCACGGAGTTGTTTGACCAGTGTTGATTGCTGACTTACTTTCTACTCGTTCATTATCATTCCAATTTTATGTGAAAACTACAGGACTCATTGCATACACTGTCCTCTCAAAAGACAGCCGCAAGACCTTTGGCTGACTGTGTCACCTCTTGGTGAGACTCCCGGTGGGAAACCTGTCTCTTTTTCATGCTTTCATGTTCTCCATCACTGTCTCCAGACTCCAAGTGTCTTCCTCCAGCTCTGAAGAGTCTAGCTCAGGTTTATCCATCAAGTTAGTGTCTTCCATTCTGGTGGATATATCTTACTACTGTTGACTGGTGGGATGACTCTGTCACCATTAGGAGCCATTAGGCCTCCTTCCCTAGAGGATGGCTTACTTGTTCTCTTGGACTAGTCTTCATACCCCTTCCATAATATGGGGAGGGGCAAGTTATTTGTATTAAGCAGACATTTATGAGAAACAACTACCTCCCCCAAAAGAGAGCTTCCAATTGAAACCACAATATAAAAGATTATGGACTGGGGCCACCAACCCTGTTGCATAGCACGTTAAACCTGCACATCACACATGGGCACTGGTTCCAGACCCAACTGCTCCGTTTCTGATCCAGCTCTCTGCTAATAATGTGCCTGGGAAAGCAGCAGTGGATGGCCCAAGTCCTTGGCCTGCAGCCTCGTGGGAGACCCAAAAGAAGTTCTGGGCCTGGCTTCAGCTTGGCCCCGCCCCAGCCACTGTGGTTATTGAAGAGTGAACCAGTGGATGGAAGATTGCTGTCTTGCTTGCTCTGTCTTTTAAAGAAAAAAGAATATGGACTATGAATTGCTTTCTGGTGGTATTTGTCTTAAAGTTTTTCTCTAGTTCTCTTGTGATTATGAGTTGCTTTTCACTAAGGAACCCCATTTTTGACCATGGAGTTAAGCATCATGGAAATCAAACCCGTTTTTAAGAAGTCCTTTCCAAAGAGAAATAATAGTGACTAATATTGGTGGTGCTGGGGACCGTGCTATCAGGTTATTGAAAGAAATGGATTAATTTAAATAAAATGCTGTGATGTTATCTCTTCAACCAAGTGCTTTTTTGGTGTTTCTCAGTTTTGATATATTATCACATATTTGATTCTGTCTCAAATAGACTTTATGGGGCTGTTTGTACGGTTCAAATATCAGTTTTTCACTGACAGAGAAATGCAGAATGCTGTGGTTTCGGGGTATATCCCTCTTAGGTTTATAGAGGCCCACTTTTTTTTTTTTTTTTGACAGGCAGAGTGGACAGTGAGAGAGAGAGAGACAGAGAGAGGTCTTCCTTTGCCGTTGGTTCACCCTCCAATGGCCGCCGCGGCCGGTGTGCTGTGCCGGCGCATCGCGCTGATCTGATGGCAGGAGCCAGGTACTTATCCTGGTCTCCCATGGGGTGCAGGGCCCAAGCACTTGGGTCATCCTCCACTGCACTCCTGGCCACAGTAGAGAGCCTGGCCTGGAAGAGGGGCAACCAGGACAGAATCCGGCGCCCAACCGGACTAGAAACCTAGTGTGCTGGTGCCGCAAGGCAGAGGATTAGCCTAGTGAGCCATGGCGCCGGTCAGAGGCCCACTTAACTCTTGCACACACACTGAGGCACTGGGGTGGACACCAGCGTGTTTGAATTATAGGACTTCCTCTTGTTTTCATTTCATTCAGCATTTGATAGAAACTCTGCAGCAAGTGAAGAATGTTCTGGCATTTTCTTTCAGTGCCAGAAGTATAAAATCATGCCATCTTATGTGGGATTTTACTATGGTGGGGTCTTAGCAGATGGTGCTGGCTGTTCAGGTCATAGACCCATCCACAGCCTCACAGTGAGGGGAGGTCACTTACACAGCATCACACAGGAAGAGGCCGATTCTGGGCCTTGGGACGCTCCCTCCCTTGCAGCCCAGGAGCTTTGATGTCTGTGAAGGAAAAAATAAAAATGGAGGCATCTTTATGTTGTAGTCTTAGCAATGATATGAGAAAAATAAAAAAAAAAAAAACAGCTTTGAGTCTGAGAAAAAAATCAGAGGCATCTTACTGGAATCGACTTGGAAGGCAAATGGACTAAATTGTTTTCTTTCCCCACCCTAAAGATTTTCAGAGCGTGCATACTTTCGGAAAAATAGAAAAAGGACCAAAACAAAACAAATTGCTTCACAATTTACTAACAGGCCCGATTTATAAACTAACAGTATTTCCTACATTCAATATGCTATGACTCAATAGAGCTCAAGTCTAAACATGTTTGATCAGCCACAGTGTTAACAGCCTTGAGTTTAAGAGGTCGTGTTCCAGATAGGTGAAGTTTTTGTTTAGCAAACAGCTTGCTTTTCAGAGGCCCTTTATGTCTTTACACTGAGAGTCCGAAAAACTGCAGAGAAGTTAGGGAGCCTGCAGTTGAGGTATAAAACAGTGGAACAGAAGAAAACAGCCCAGAAATAAACCTGGACATTTAGCAGTCAATGGATCATCGACAGAGAGGCCAGGAACACACAGGAAAGGACAGTCTCTTCACTCAATGCTGCTGAGAAGAAATGGATGTCCACATGCTGAAGGATGAAATTGGTCCCTTGCCACATGCCATTTGCAAAAATAGAAATGCATTGAAGACTTAAATCTAAGATCTCAATTACTAGAGGAAAATAGAGGGGGCAAGTTCCATAACGTTAATCTCGGTGATGGTTTTATGGCTCTAATCCCAAAAGTCCAGGCAACAAAAGATAAAATAGACAAACTGAAAAGCTTCAGCACAGCCAAGAAAATGATTAACAGAGCAAAGAGAAAAACCTACAGAGTGGAAGAAAATTTTTGCAAAGCATACATCTGATAATATCCAAAATATGCGGGAACTATACAACTCAATAGCAACAAAGCATGCGCCAATTACTAACGGTCAAAGGACCTGGATAGACATTTCTGAAAAGAAGACATAGAAATGGCTCAGCATCATTGTTCTAAACACTGATAATAAAATATCCAAAGCCCACAGCTTTTTAAGGCAACCATTGTCCCCATTTTACAGCTAGAGAGTTAGAGACATGAAGGGAGTTCCTGCCAAAGATGACTGACTAGCTCAGGTGGAGGACTCCCCCCGCTCCTGCGGTGGACCTGAAGAAATAGAAGCTTCGAGTTGCAACCTGATCCTTGCACCACGTTAGTGACAGCACAGGCCATGTGCGTGAGTGTTAGCAACATAAAACCCCACTGGGGATGGGATGTAGTTTATAGAAACAAATAGGCAGCCCTCAGGCATTTGCTGCACCAGGCTCCCAGCCCAAATGTGGATTGTATTATTATTTTTCCTTCAGGGTTTAGAGGTGAAAATCTCTGGACTAGTGGATGGGCCTCAAACAGGGACACACTAGTGGGGTTCACAGGAGCCTGGAACTCCATCCAGTCTCCCACATGGGTAGCAAGAGCCCAGGCACTTGGGTCATCTTAGTCTGTTTTACCAGGTGCATTAGCAGGGAGCTGGACCGGGAGTAGAGCAGTGAGGACTGGAACCAGCACTCTCATGGAATGCCAGATCACAGGTGGTGGCTTAGCCCACAGCGCAATGGTGCTAGCCCCTAATTCCACTTTTCTATAAGCTTTTTGAAGTATCCTGGTAGGCAAGGGCCTGGCCTTGGCCCTGTCCCAGTGCCGAACATCAGATAGCGTGGTTGGTTCCCCAAGGGCAGTAGGTGGATTGGCCTCACGAGAGGAGCTTTGAGGACAAAAGTCGGCTCACTGACTTAAGCCAATTTTCACTTAATTCTTGACAATTTGCCAACAAGCATTGGGTTGCCTACATTCCATGTTGCTCTTTTAGGAGGAAAAATCTGAATCCAAAACAGTGTGGAGAGCCAACTGAAATCTACACGGGTTTGTAAACATGACATCATTACCAGGGGAGAGAAAGGCCCAGTCTGGCCAACTGCGGAGCTCAACTTGGATGCCTTAAAAGCTTGCTTTATTGCACTCAAAGTACTACTAGAAATGCATTAGACTCCACAGGATTTGAGATGATATCCTGTTTGCTGTTCACTTTAGAATACTGAGAGAGACTGCAGAAACACACACACCACCTCGTTTTACTCT